ACTGAATTTCTTACTTAATTGCATGTTCTACTTATCTTTCGCAAGAACATTGTACTAGTTGTTCAATGTTTCTCTTATTTTTGCAGACCACCAATGAATCAACAAGGTAGAGCCAGTCCGCAACCAGGAAGTTTACCAACACCTGTGACGGCAATGTAAGTTTTTTTAAGAAAAAAAATAAAACCATTGTTGGTATCATCACTGATTCTCTAAATTTGTCTACACTTCTAACCTTTTGCTTTATTAATTATTATTGCACAGATGATTACATTTTTATTCTAATAATGTATATTAATGAATTATTTATTTTAGACGTCCAATGCCAAGTATTCCACCACGACCATTTGAACGACCGCCAGTTCCACAACGGAATTGAATTTGATTAGCATATTATTTATTCTATTGATATTATCATTTTTTTTCCTTCTGTCATGTATAAAAAAAAACACACATCTATTTTTTTCTTTTTGGTGTTTATTCATTTATCTAAATGTGATTCTTTATTATTATTCATATTTTTTATTCTTTATTGACTGTAGCACAACTTATTCTTTTCATGTGTATCGACAGTAAACTTATGTCTTAGTAATGAGCAAAAAACAAAATCTATGTCATTGATTGGTGTCAAACCAAAAACTACGAGAGAAAAACAAAGAAAAATTTAGTAGAATTTTTCCCCCCGACATTTTATTTATTCCAGATATTTATATAAAGAAAATGTTGTAGATTTTTCATGTGCAATCTTTTGTTTCGCACTTTGTGTTTTTGAACAGTCAATTTATGTGCATATAAAGAAATTTCTTTGCATTTCCGTATTCTTTTATTTTCTTCTTCGTTGCAATAGTTGATGTTGTTTTTCTAGAAATCTTTATCTTTATTTCTATGTGAACATAGAATATTTTAACGTCTGTGTTATATATCGCTGATGTTATTTATTATCAAAAAAAAACCACAATGATTATATTCTTTACTTTCTTATTCCATTTTAAAATACAGATATTATATATTTTCCTTGATCATTATTCGTCCTGTAATGTGTTTAGATTGATCTTTAGTTTCTTTCTTTTTTTTTACCATGATGAAATTTTATCAATGATCAATTTATAAACCCTTTTTGTTTTTTCTTCGTGCTCATAATTATTGTTCGATGATTATATATTGAATAAAACTATGCGTGATCTTACCTAATTTTAATTTGTTTTTTCTCGTTAAGATGAAAATATTTGTAACTAAAAAATTTATAAGAAACTTCAGCATGATATTCAAGTTTAACGAGTTTCCCTAGTTAAAAAACAACAAAATAGCTTAAGGGGAAATTCGAAATTAAGAACAATTAGTTATTAAATAGCGACATACTCCTCTTTTCTATTCAAGAAAAAGCTCTTAAATATATTAAATATTAATAATTCGTTGAATTTTTATTTTCATGTTTACTTATTTTAGATTTCGTAGTCGACGACTAACATATGATTACTCATTCTATAAAAATTACGTGGTGAGTTAGAAGTTTTGTTTACGAAATCATTTATAACATAATGTATAGGAACGAAAAAATAAGTTTAGTTAAGAAATTTCTTTTTTTCATTGTAAATAATCGTTTGAAATATTTATATGTATTGGAATTTTTTTATTTATTGTTTCTATTAGTTTTCTCTTTCTTATCTTTTCTGTATTCAAAACAATAATAGTAACTAGGAAACAATATAGCTATTTACACATATGTCATACAAAATATTAATTAATCACAAACTCTTTGATAATTTAATGAAACATCAGATCTGCCGGTTTGCATAAACGATATAAAAGATCCACTTTAACTACAGCTGTAACTTAGAATAGGGACAATGAAAAGATTCAAAACTTTCGCAAGAAACTATTCTTGTCGAGATCTATCTCTGTTCAAATTTTTAAGTCGAAATTCGAAAATCTGTCTCTCTGAGAGGGATCACGACATTCATTTTAAAAATACCATAAAAGTGCAGTATCTCCACAGCTATAATCTAAAAGCATGCACTCTTTTCAGAGTATTCATAGCTCATTTAAATGTACATAGTTTCGTCTAAAAACCGATTTATTAGTTGTGAAACTGCCCTTATGAATATTCGGATGAAATAGTTTAATAATAGCAAATATTATCTAATTAGCTTTAAAATGTAGAATTGTTAGAATTTAATGAAGGATAAAACATGCTTAGATGTAATTAACGAAGTATTTAAATTAATAATAAACTTTTTATTTTTGTTTGAAATACATTTTAGGGCGTCTCGTTTTAAAAAATATTCAGTTGTACAACAACAAAATAATGATAATCATGACACCAATACTAATTTGGCATTTACAATTCCTTGTGAATATATTACTCAACAAGATCTAACATCTGCTTCTTTATTTCACGGTAATTTTTGTTTTTTCATAAAATCGTTTCTTGCAGAATCTTGAGAAGTGCTGACCATCAGAATCTTTTTTTTTGCTTAAAAAAGAAATAATATAATTACTACTTATAAATTATTTCATTTATTTGAATACTTTGAAAATTTTTCAATTTATTTAAAAAATATTTTCAAATGTATGTAACTTAAGTTTTATGATTCAAATATAAAAATTGATATGAATGAGCATTTAAAAGTATTGTACATGAAAACCTGTACGACTAGTTGAAATTGATTTTACAAGATTATTTTTCATTAGGCGGTCTTGATAGTCCATCTATAAATGCAATTGATCCAATATTAAAACGACCTGTACATATAACAAAATATCTATGTTTAAAATCAAAAACAAGTACTCAACAATATATAAATCATCTATATGAACGAATTGTTATAACAAGTAATTTATCACATCCAAATGTTCGTCGAATATTATCTTGGTATATTGCTGATGCATGTCTTTATTCAGTAACTAATGTTATACATAGAACATTACGTGATGCAATGCAATCTGAAACATTTTCATTAGAACGTATTTATCGTTTGTCATTACAAATAATTCATGGAACAATTTACTTACAATCAAAAGGTCTTTGTCCATTAACACCATGGTATTTTAAGAATTTTTTTAAATTAGTTGTAAATAAGAATTATTTTTATTAGTTTATATGTTTTTTAATCAATATAAGGTATACAACAAATATTGAATTAACACATGATGATCATATACATCTATGCTCACCGACAATATCAACAACAAAACTTAATGGCGGTATTGTACGACATCATCATTTATGGCGACATGCACCTGAAAGTTTAATTCGAATGATCATCGATCAAGATACTTGTGTTAAGTAAGTAGAATGATTGTTGTTTTTTTTGTTTTTCATTTCATTCATTCATTTGATGAATATAATATTGAGTAAACAACCACCAACATTACAGAAATTAAGAAAAAAATTTTACTAGGTTCACCTTTTGATATAATTCACTTTTAATAATAAAGACAAATTTCTAAACAAACAATGTTTAACAATTATTCTATAGTCCATTTCTCCTATATATTACTTAAAAGTCTATTGAAATATAAATATTTTCTTTATAATTAAACATTTTTTTATTGTCGACTAATGTGAATAAATATGTTGAATATAGCAAAAAAAATTTCCGTAGTTCACTCTAGCATCTTTTTGATAAGACGTACATATGATATTATAAAATCCAATTCTAAATTAATAAGGATCAATAAAAGTTAAAGTGTCTCTCATTTCCTCTTGTTCTAATCTATCGTAGTACATTCTATATAATAATCTCTATTTATGACTTGAATTAATTGTCAAAAGCTTCTCGTATTACTGATAAATATAAATTGTATTGAATTTCGAAAGAATTTAATTGAAATCTATTTGAAATTAATTAACTCTAATTTTTATCTAGCAGTAAAACAATTGATAATTCCAAAGAAGATGTTTGGTCAATAGGTTGTATAATAGTTGAAATGATGATAAATACAATATTATTTCGTCCACAAAATGATGATCCATCATTACAACTTTTATGTATTGTTCAATATGTTGGTGGTTTAACATTATCATTATATGAATATTTTCCATTACATGTAAAAAAATTATTTTCAAAAATAAAATTTGATTGTCATCAACAATGTCTTCATCGTTTATTAAAACAAATATTTAATCATGAAAGAATCAATTTTCATGAACATCATCTTCATAAAAAAGAATATTTATTTGATTTATTAAAAGAAATATTTCAATTTCAATATGATAAACGTATATCATTACAATCATTAATTGAACATCCATTTTATTCAAAAAATTCTTTATTAAAAAATTCTAAAACTCAAATGAATTCTTCAAAATTATTATTATTATTACCAATGAATACATCATTAATTCGAATTGATGATCTTATACATTTATGTATAAAATTAAATTTAACACATTCTCGATGGGTTTTAACACTTAAAGAACGTTGTCTATTTGAATTGATTTTACATATTAAAAATCTTAGTCAATTTAAATCATATACATATGGTTTAAGTCAATCACTTCAATTAGAAATAGAAAAACTTATCTATTTTTTTAATAAGTAATTAGTAAATGGGCATATATTATATTATGTATATATTTTTTTCTTCCATTATATTTTTCTTATTCCATCATATAGTGCAACATGTAAATATGTTATTTTGAGAAGTTTTAAATCTTTATTGAACGAAAAAAAAAAGAAGAAAAAAACAACCCTTTTATTTTCCGGTTGATAACTATAGATTCTTCTTTATTTTATTGAATGATATATCAGATAGTTTCGTAATTTTTCGAACGTTTGTTTTTATTTATATGTAATATGTATGTTTGTTTTATTTCATATTTTTATTAAAGAAAAAAAACCAAATAGTAGAACTCTATAAGAGCAAAAAGAAGTAAATCACATTGTTTTGGTTTTGTATTTGCTTTTAGATGTAAAAAATTAATATAAAAGACTTAAAATAATATTAATATTCGATCATTGAATAACCGTAACATGAAGCTCATGTTTTTTCCGGTGACAATGATCGAAGAATTTCCACATGTTTTACTTTATTATAATTTTGCACATAAAAAAGATCGTTATTTTTTATCACCATATGAAGTTGATATATCAAGACATGGTTCACAAAGAGCTGTATGTGATGTTATACATTCATCTGATTTTCTATGTGGTTTACTTGATATTGATCGACCAACAATAATGAAACAAATTTCATTAAATTCACCAAATATAACATCAACTAGTTTAATAACAACAGCAACAGATAATAGTTCAACATCCAATAATGAAGAAACATGTAGTCGACGTACATTATCTTGTTCAGCAACATCAACCGATACAAATTCGAATGATCCACTTTTAACAATGATTGAACAACGATTAGATTTTAAACATCGTTGTATGTTTTATTCAACTGGTCCGACATCGGATTTGTGTAGTAAGTTAAATTTACTAATAAAGACATTGCATCAAAAATAATATCGCTCATAGTTTATTTCAATTAACTACGAATCATAAGAGTCTTTTTTTTAGAATATAAAACACTAAAGTCATAGGTTCCTTTTTTTAAAATACGGCTTCCAAGAATCCACAACTGTTGCTCCTGTGACACTTTCTTCCCAATGACAGGTGCTTCCACAATATTTGCTAATTAAAAATAAGCAACAATAACAGAAGAATAGAACTAACATGTATGCATGTGTAGATGTGGATGTTACCGAAGAGAAGATTTACGCCTATACCTACAAAAGAAGCTGTATTCGTTACTCATGAGGAACAAGTGTTACTGCAAGGCAACAGTTGTGTTACCGCTTCCAAAGGTAATTTTAATTAACTTATTACCCATATATTAAATGGAGAGATAAATATACGAAAAACGTAGAAACTCTGCTATTAAATGAACACTTTAGGAAATATCATCATAATTATTCAATTACAGAAACTACTAATCTTTAGATATGAATTTGAAATCGACTTCGTCTGAAACATTACGATGTGTGTAGGGATGTGCAATGTTTGTGTAAATACTCAACAATAAGTCACCGACATGGGATCCATTGGGATACTGACCAGGCTAGCATTCGTGTTTGCTGTAGCATTGAAACACTAACTCTATTAAAATATGCTTTTTTTGCAGTTCTATGCTTCAATGCTTCAGTGACCACTGGTGTCATTGTGAACTAACTACACGGAGTTGGTGATCAATAAACTAAAAGTGCACATCCCTAGATGAGTACCAATATTTCTCACGATCTGCGAAAGCGGAAGCGCGTTGAGATATGTAACATAGGTTTCGTCTTCATCTATGTTATGACAATAAAATTAATTCTATGATAGATTCAAATTTAATTCTACTGAAATTGTTTAAAAATCAAATAAATTATCGATCATCTATTATAACAAGCTTTATATAAAAACTGTATTCTAAATCCACTTCCAAGCAAAAATTCAAATAATGAAACTTAAAATCTTCTTTAGTTTGTGCTCTCGATGTTGATTGTCATTCATCAGTTGTATGTAATGCTATTGGTTATTCAAATCTACTTACATATGATGAATTACTAACACAAAATGCAAACAATGAAGAGGATAATAATAATAATAATAATAATATTCAACGAACACCAACAAAACATGCTCATAAAATGCGTCATCAACATCGACAATATGTTAATCAATGGATATGTATACGAGATATTATTGATGGTTTAATAACATGTAATCATACACTTAAAAATAAAATTATCGTGGAAATTCTTTCGAAAATGATTCTTTGGGTTAAACAACGAAATGAATCGAAAATACTTGAATCAAAATTAAACAAATCTGAATCATCAATAATGACAATAACAAATATTAAATTATTTAAAGCACGAGCGCGACAACTTGTTTGGGATTTAATGGAAATGAAGTAAGAATTTTTTTAAAAAATCAAATATTTATATAATTATTATCAACGGTTATTTTTCATAGGAATGAAGTTCGTTTTCCTCGTCCAGTTCATGGTCGTATACCAAATTTTCGTTATTGTGAAATAGCTTCTGAAAATGTAATTAGTTTAGAATGCTTTAAGCGAGCACGTGTCATCAAAATTAATCCATCACTTGCTCAAGAATCTCTTCGCTATTTAACATTATCTTATAATAAAGTACTTTTAACACCAACACCTTCACTTGGTTAGTAAAGCTAAACAAACAAAAATCTTCAATGGAAAATTTCTTATTCATTCTTTTTTTTTAATTTTTTTAGATTCGGCATTATTTTATAAATTAGAACCAAAATTTTTACATCGTAGTCAATTAGATTGGGCAGCAACAAAAACTGGTGCTGCTGAATTAGGTACTGTTATACAATTACAAGCATTAAAACAAATTCATGTTGATTTAATTATTGTTGCATCAGTTGTTGTTAATCCAATAACTGGTGCACGTATTGGTAAAGGTAAAGGTTATGGTGATTTAGAATATGCAATTATGTCACAAATGGGTTGTGTATCAAATAAAACAATTATTATGACAACATGTCATGAAAGTCAATTAATTAATGATATACCAAATCATATTATGGAACAACATGATTTACCAGTAGATATTATAGTAACCCCGAAACGATATATTTATACAAAACGTTTATTTCAACGACCAACACGTGTCTATTGGAATAAACTTGATCCAGATATGATGATAAGTATTCCGGTTTTACAAGAATTAAAACGATTAGAACAGCAAAATATTATTAAATCTCAATAAAAAAAAAAAGGAAAAGAAATTATATCAAGATGGTTTCTTTCTTTTTTTTATGTGTGTCAGATGTTTATTTAATTCAAAGTATGAATTTATAGTGAGATTTTTTTTCTTGTGTAAATTTAACAGAAAAAGATAATAATGATTATAAAGTCAAGAAGTGTTTTCTTGTGAATAAGAATCGCTTGGAAACAGAAAAAAATCAGTCCGTATACTCATATTTTTGTCATGCCTTTTTTTTCTTCTATTTTATTTGATGTACACAGATAACATTCTTGTTTTTTTGATGTTTCGCTTTCTATATGTATATTGTTCAGTTTTATTTGTTCTGAGATGAATAAATTTATAAAACCAATAAAATAAAATGTTGTTTTGTTCGTTTTTATTGTTGTATTTAATTAAAAAAAAAAAGATTTAATAAAAATATTTATTTATTTATCTATGTTATTTTTCTTCAGTTATTTGCTTTGTGTTTAAGAAGTGTTTACGATTCAAAGAATATTGATTTACTAGTCAAAAAAGTTCTAAATATTAAATAGAAACTTGTTCTAATTATTATAACAAGAATATATGTGTGTTGATTGAATGATGTTTGAAAAATTCCAACTAATGAAAAAGTTTTGTTGTAGACAAAAAAAAACATAGAGCAAAAATGGCTGATAATTATGATATTTCACGAAATCCAAGTGATTTACCTAAATCAAAAGGTATTACAAATGTTCGTCCTGGTGCTTCTCGTCAGCATTTTCTCGACTTTGACAATATGAATTCTCAACAAGACACATCTCATCGACAATTAACTGCCTATTCTTGGCAAAATTCGATCAAGTAAAAACTAAATCGAGTTTTTTTATTTTCATTTATTTATTTATTTATTATTGAATAAATTGAAACATTTTTCAGTGAGGAAAACAAAAAGGAAAAAGATGTTGTGAGTTTCTATATTCATCTATTAGATCTTCTTTTTCACATTGTTTTGGAGTGTCTTACATAACACTTTTAATTTTGCTGATTAACATTAACTAATAGAAATAATTACTTATTTAGGAAGATATATTTTCTACTGAAATTGATGAAGAAGTCTATGAACGATATTCATTCGGAGCTCTGTTACCAGAACAATGGATAAGAAGTAAATTTATTCTTTTTTGTTTTATTTTTCTTTAATTTTATACTCTTGTAGAACATGGTACAACAGATACATTGAAAAATATTACTGATAATCATTGTAGTACATTGTAAGTTAGAAATTTTGAGTTTCTTTTTTTCAATGTATTAATTATTGTTGTTTGGTTTTTATTAATAAAGTTATGACAGAGCCATGGAACTTATGGAAAAACGTATAAATTATGAAGAAGCATTAGTTAATGTAAATAAATGTCTTCTTCTTAAACCATTTCATATTCCATTTTATGAAATTCGATCAGAAATCTATTTAAATTTATGTGATTTTCAAAGTTCAATTATAAGTTTACAAAAAAGTATTTTATATACACAAGTAACAACAAGTAATAGTCGATTATCAAGAAATGAACAACAATCAATTTCAAAACCTGTAACACCAGCTAATCGAGAAGATAGATTAACAAATGATAAAATAGCATTTCTTCGATATGTCTCAGGTGTGACATTATTTGATCAAAAACTTTATTTAGATGCATTGGGTATTGTTGCTAATGGTTCTAATATATTTATTACATTACCTTTTCAAATCTATAGGTATTTAAATATAAAATATGATAAAGAATGAACATAGATTTTTTTTTCTTTTAGTATTCTTTGTCTAACAGCTTTAAATAAAATAGAAGAAGCAAGTACATTAGTAACTCAAATGATCGAACAATATTCTCAAAATGCTGATTTATTAATTATTCGTGCTCGTCTTTATTATAAAGACAAGGATAAGGTTTTTATTGAAGAATTATTTACTTTTTTTTCCCATTGATTAACTTTTTATGAAGAAAAAAGAGCATGAATTTTTTGAATAGCTTCTTCAATAACTTGTATAACATTTAAGACACTTGTTACAGCTTGAGTTGCTATTGTATTTTGCATTGTAGGAATTAAATTAGTTATCATATTTTTCATAGTTTGTAAATGTGTTTTAAGAAAAGTACTTAATTTTGAAATTGATTGTTGAAATTGAGTTGCTACATTACCATAGAGAAAACTTTGAAGAGTTTCAAGAATTGATTGTTGAAAAGCAAGTTTAAATGATTTAAGTTCAGTTAAAAGATTTACTCGAGCATCATTTTCTAAATCACGTTTACCAAGTGCTGGAATTAGATCACCAATCCATGATGTTACACCATAAATAGCATTTGAAACTGCATTTGTAACAGTAGCATGAATATTTAAAGTTGTACTAATAGTTGAATCAATATTTTCAGCAATTAGCATGACTACTGGACTTATGAAATCTCAAATAGCCAGAAGTCTCCGTGGTTGTTCAAGAGAAACACTAGTGCTAAAAGTACCATAAAGTTGAGTAATAATTAAAATAATAAGAATAAGTTTCATGCTTTTGCTATTCGTAAAATGTATTTTTCGATTTGGTAAAAAAAACAGTTTTTTAAGTATAATTAATAGATGATTTTATTTCTCATATTTGTATTTCATCACTTTAGTTAGCACTGTGCTTTTATGATGTGCGCGATGCTTTAAGGATTGAAGAGAATCATCCATTAGCCAATCGTATGATGTCTGCTCTTGAAGAAACTGCTAAACAATCACGTGATAATTGTGTACATATGTCAATTAAAGAACGTTTAAATGATGCTCTAGCATCCATTAATCTTTCTATACAACTTTATCCAATTGAAGCTGAATTTTATTTACAACGGTGAAAAAAATTTTTATTTAACTTTTTTTTTATGTCAAATTTGTTTTTTTGCTTTTGTAGAAGTATAATTTATCGAAAAATGAAAAAATTTCAATTAGCAATTGATGAATGTTTACTTGTTTTTGATAAAATTGGACATAATCAAGAACATAAACTTTATGAACAAGTACAAAAACAATTTGTTCTTATTTATAATGAATGTTCTTTAAAATGTTTACAAACTGGTTATTATGATGATGCTATTGAATTATTAAATCGAGCACTTAATTATGAAAAACAATCAGCTGAATTATATATTAATCGAGGAGGTTAGAATTTATATTCTAATACGAGGAAAAAAATCTAAAAGAAAAATATTTATTTATTTTTTCTTTGTAGATTGTTTTTTTGCTAAAGGAAAAATAACTTTTGCTTTACAAGATTATGAACAAGCACTTGAACTAACACCAAATAATAAAGAAATAAAATTACGCATTTCCGAAGTATTCTTTAATAATGCTGAACAACATTACAAAGAAAAGCGATACAAGGTTTAAAGTTTTTTTTTCTTTGAAATTAATTTTTTTTTGTGTATTTTTTCTTAAAGGATTCTTGTACTGAATTAACAAGAGCTATTGATGTTAATCCATCTATTGCAAAATATTATGTGTCACGTTCACGTGTTAAATATTTAACAGAAGATATTGTAGGTGCTCAAGAAGATATAGTTGCAGCTATATTAATTAATCCATTAGAAGATGGATGTATTGATGTTCTACCAAGATTATTTGTTGATACAACACTTGCTGAAGTTCTTAATTCATCATTAACAAAATATGTTAAAGAACATTTATTAAAACGTGGTGTTCAATTAACTATTTCTTAATATATATTTTTCTTTTTTTTTAATTTTATTTTTGATTTAAACAAATAAAATAAACACAGTCCATAATTCTTTTAGATTTTTCTAAAGAAAAAAGAAAAAGTAAATGGATCCACCACCAAAACGAAGAGGTCGTCCGAGAAAGTATGTGAGAAAATATCAAATAATCTAGAGTTATACTATAATATTTCTTTTTCCAGAACAAATATTATTCTTAATAATGAAGTTCAGACAAATAATACGAATGATGAATGTAAGATTTATTTGATTGAAATAATTATTTATTGATAATTGTATTTCTCAGCAATTGTACCAAAAATTGAAAATTTATTAACAATGAATACAATGGTTGTTGAACAAAGAAAAGCAGCTAAAGCTAGAAAAAAGTGTATGTTCTATAATAAGATATGCTTATTTAAAATTATTAGCATGCAAATTATTTTTTTTTTTTTTGTTTATTATTATAGACAAAGAAGCTAGTAGTGAAGAAGAATATGTAAATGAAAATATTGAAGATGAATCTGATGAAGATACTGAAATTTCAAATCGTCGATCATCAGCTGCTAAACGTAAATCAATAGCTATTCTATCAAAAGATCAAACAGAAAAATGGGGAAATTATCGAAATACAATTGATAATGGACCTGTACCACGTATTTATTTCTATATTTATAATACGAATATTCTCTTTGATTTAATTATTTATTTTTGTATAGAACATCCATTGACTTTAAATGAAATAGCATTTGATGTAGCACTTAAATTACAACAGGGTAATCAAAGTCAACATTTATTAATTGATTATCTTGATAATGAAAATAAAATTGAATTTATTAAAAATATAAAAATGACAGAACAAGTTTTACTTGATACATATCGTATTCAACTTTCTCAAAATGTATGTAGAACAAAATATACTTAATATATTTCCATAGATCTTGAATTCGATTAATTTTCAGTTATTTTTTCTTATAGATTTTCTATTATCTAAGAATTAGCTATATTTTCTAAGATAAGAATAAATACACTTATTTCTTATTAATATCAAAAGAGTAGAAAATATTTAAAAAATGTTATTTATGATTCTGCATTTTGTTGAATCTACAAACGATATAGAACATAGAATTGTTGTAATGATAGATGTAGTAACAGGGTGGTTCAGCGATCATCATTCTTTCACAAATAGAAGTCTTTTTGGATATTTTGTTAAAATAGTTTTTGCACAAAAAAATTAAAATTTTGAAATTGAGAAAATCCCGAATGAGAAAACTACCATTTGAGCTCATATTAGATCCATGGGTAGGTCTCAGTGAGAATAGCGAAAAGCCTAAAAGAGTTCGTCCCCATAGACTTTCTTCGCTGAGTTATAATTGGTTTACTGGACTTTTGATCGCACTGGAATCTTTGATCTCGAGGATGAAAAAGAACGAAGATTTCTCGATATAGATTTCAGAATTTTTGTATCTATTTAATAATTTAACGGTTCCGACTTGGCTCTTGACCTCTGTTATTTTTGAAAGCATCGAACTTTTGTTAGCATAGGTCTTTTCTTCAGCCGCACTTACACCCTTACAACACGAATGGCAGTGTAACAGGTTGACGGTCTATTTGCTACCACAGATCGTGATAGCATCATAAAAAATAAGCACAAATTGATTAGTGCACGACAAAAGTTTCGTCCGTATTGATATGAATATTTTACTTCATTTCTATAGCAAGATTTAGAATGCAACATATACATACACAAAAGACTTAGAGATATACACTATGAGCATTCGGATTTTTTTGAGCTACTGGCTTCTTTCTTGAATAAAGTAGAAGTATATGGAATACTCTGTTAGATGTCTTTTTTTTGTCAGATCAAGTGACTTGCTTGATCGAGCCCTGTTTTTAGCTCTCCCTTGACAAGTTGCCTATGCTTTTATGTTTGTTTGTTGGAGCGACTGCCAATGATACTCAGTTATATTGAATTCAGGTGAATGAGGTGTTCAATCTGATAATCAAGTTTCGCTGGTCATGCACATTAGCTGCTTTGATGCAAGCGTGTTGTTTGCATCAAGCATAGCTTATAGATGTATGTACCGATCAATACAAATTAGCTGACTCAACTACTGAACTCGTTGAAAAAGGAGTAATTGCAAGACTCAGTTGAATATTTCAATATATAATTGTCGGCTAACTGTTGTTAGTATCTGATGAGAGAAATTTTGTGATGTAATCTATCAGGTTCAGTCCATAGTGTTATTTCATGCAAGCAAACAAAAATATAAGTAATTATTTAGCGATCAATAAGCAGTTAAGACGCTGCTATACTGAGTTGCTTCACTTGCTTTTGGATTTCTTTTAGAGAAGACAAGCATTGTTCACATGTCAAATGTTGAATTTTTTATCCGCATGAATTAGTTAATGAATTTGAAGGATGATAATGACAAAACATAGAAGCTGAATATGAGTAATGAGCTGTCAGAGAATGCTATGAGTGATAACGATGTCAAGTTTTTCTGCTTTCTAATTATAAACGGATTGAACAAGTTCATATAAGGCCGAAACTTTTGTCGCGTTCTAAATTATAATTTTATTCGAAGTTGGACGTTATATATCCGGCTCTTATCCTCAAGAGGTTCATAAAATATATATTATTTTATTTCTTATATATATATATATATAGACGGATGATGATCCTTTATTTCTTCAACCATTTGAATCTATTGTACATAAAAATAATGTATTCACATTAAATATTGGTATTGGTCCAATTCAATCTCTTGATTGGCTTTCAATGCCAACATCACAATGTCCAATAACACATCAATATTTGGCTGTAAGTTGTTCACGTTCGTCATTAATATCAAAACATTTTTATGATGAAATATATTCATATAAAAATTATATTCAAATATGGATGTTTGATTTATCAACTATGAAAACAAGTTTAATACCAAAAAATCATCAACTTATTTGTTTAATAACAATTAATGATAGTGGTTCTATATGGACATTGAAATGGTCACCATCATGTTCATCACCATCAGCTTATTTAGCTGCTGGTACAAGTTCAGGTTCAATTTATTTATATAAAATATTTTCTCAACCATTGACATCATCATATGAATCATCAAATAATATATTACCATTCTATAAATCAACAAAATCAATTCGATTGTCACTTAATGAACCAAATAATCATACACAATGTTTATCAATTGATTGGTCGAAACATGATCCAAATCGTCTTGCTGCTTGTTATAGTAATGGTTTTATTGCTCTTTTTCATGTTAATACACAAGCAAAATATTTAATTGAAATGGTAAAGAATAAACAAAAAAAAACAATCAATATATATATATATATATACATATATATTAATTATCAATTCGTTTCTTTTTTTTTTAATATTTAGAAATCAAATCAAGAGAAAATTATTTTTCCTATTCGATTTTTTCGAATTTCCTATACACCAATTCGTGATATTAAATTTTTAAATGATTCATCAAATCTTGTTTTAACTATTGCAAATATTGCAAAACGATTTTCGTATAAATAAAAAACTTTGCTTTTATTTTTTTTTAAAATTTTATATTTATCTTTTAGTGTATGGGATTTCGATGATCATCATCAACATTTAATCGATATTGAAAATAGTGGTACAGAATCGGTTATAAGGTCATTAACTGGTGATCTTTTATGTGTAAAAGAGTTTACACCGTACGTTTAAGAAAAAAAAAATAAAAGAATTTGATTTTGTTTACTTTTTTTTATTCATTTAAGATCATATGCTCGAACAAGTGCTTATCTTACATATGAACCTGAAACAAATAATCTTCCAAAACATATTTATTTTCAATCAACGCCTGATCATGTTTTAAGTGTCGATTACTCTCCATGGCTTGATTCAATTTTACTTTGTGATTCAAATGGTACAGAAAAGAAAGAAAAAAAAAAGTTTTTTTTTTGTTTCTAATAAAGAAAATGATTTGTTTTTTCCTAGGTCAAGTTTATTTCTTTCGATTAACAAATTTTGTACGATGGACAAGAAAAAATGAATGTTCACTAAAATATCGATTAGTAAAAAAAAATATTGTTATTGTTTTTTTTTTATATGAAATGAATTATTTATTTTAGAAATTATTTAATTTAAATGCAATAATCAAACCAGATAAACAGGAAGAGATATCAAATTGTAAGAAAGAAAAAATAAATTTTTTCAGTAAGACTAATGATTAGGAGCGATCCAACTAATCTTGAAAAATTTGATGAAACATGATCTAATAGCGTATATCAATAACGTGCTGTTATAATATACGAACTACTTACTGCATTTCTGGAGAATTAAGTAAAAGAATAGTAAGGAAATGTGTCCTAAAATAGATAGAATTAGGAATATGCAATTTCATTACACGGGCATACATGCAGCAAATGCAGATGTCAGTATAATCAGTATTTTCATTAAATACAGATGCCAGTAGAACTCTCGATAGTTTTTAAAAATAGAAGGAACTAAATGTTTGGTAGACTGTTTTTCTGGTAACAGCTTGAAATTTTTGTAGACCTGCCGTAAAAACGTAGTAGAACTAGCCCACTCCATTCCTTCCACATCGAGATCTAAAGATGCCAGTGGATTTTGTGTCAGTGATTCACTATTCAGTATTTTGTGAAGGTTATCGATCACTAACCAGTTCTAAGTCAGAGAGAAGTTTTATCTTATCGTGTATGTACAATCAAGTTTATTGTTGCAAGCAATGAGTATATACATATTTCTAGGGGTTCGAAAACAAAATGAATTTGCTAGAAGGTAGTAGAGAGTCAAGAACATACAGAAAGAAAATGAATACACTTGAACATACTACAAAAAAAACATATCCATTCACGCATGACAGTAGAACGAAAGAAGATATAGATAAAATGCATATATATCATGACGCCATTTAATAATTTACACCAAGAGTATACATTCCTAGGTAGAATAAAATAATCATGCCATGCTTAACAACAGTAATTACGTCGCGTTTCAAGTTTTAACTTCGCAGGGATTACGCCAACAACTTTTCATTTTTTTCCAGTGGATTTTCAGCGCTTTATTGGGCTTACCAATTCGCGAAAAAAAAATGCCCAAACTCTGCTCATAAAATTCTTCCATCTGTCTCCTGAGTCATCGATTCCTCTTCTCAAATTCTGGCGAAAATAAATATCAATTTATAAATTGTCTTGTATTAATTTGAAAAAAAAAATCATATTTCCCTAGTTTTTCTTTTTCTTTTTTAAAAGAAAATAAAAATTTTTGAAAAATACGATAAAATCTGATCTTTTATTATGTATATTTTAGTTAATCAAGAAGTTGGTGAACCAATTCTTGAGCAATCATCATATACAGATTTACTTGATAAATATTATCTTGATACAAATTTATGTTGTGATGTAATTTATTTTTAAATATTTAAAGAAAAAAAAAACAGGAATATTTTTTTATTTTTTAGCAAAAATTTGTTAGTAAACAAGATGATTTTAGTAAAGCTGGAAGTTATACTTTGAATGCTTTACATAAAGTAATATTTCCTTCTTGCTTTTTATTTAAAATATATTAAAAAAGCCAATTAAATTTTTAATAAATTAGATTCGTTTTAATCCAAATCTTGGTTCATATTATTGGTGTGCATTTGGTGGTGAATCTGGTTTACTTTTTATTCTTCCACTAAATCAATCATGGTCAAATCATGCAATATCTATTTATGAACAAGAAAATAAATGAACATAATAGAATTCAAATTCTCGTCATTGTTCGACATCTGGATATTTTTTTGTTCTGTTATTTTTTCAGATGTATTTGTCAAAACTCTTACTTCTTCAACGATCAATTACTCAATTATCCTATCGTTTATCAACATCACATACATTTCCTAATGAAGATCTTGTATATACAGTTAAATCAACTAATGGTCATATACGTTCAGGTTTGTTTATTTTATTATTCTATTGTGGAATTCACATGTGTTTTTGAAGAAAATAGATAGTTTTAAGTGATAAAATCACTTCAAATTTCAAATCATTTTTCCGGCCCTAGACGATGTTCATTTGATGAGTAACAGAAAAGTCCAAAATAGCTTTGTTTTCCGGATCTCCTTAAAATATCAATCATTTGAATACGTTTTTGAAAATTCTAAATGGTGCAGTTTCTGATTTTTATGTAGACAAGCAATTATATGATAAATATCAAGGATGATGGCTACTAAGGTATTGATTTGTTACAGTCGTCATATGATCAACACAAAAAGCCTGAACTAATCAAATTCTAACTTTTGCGAATACTCAATATCAGTGTTTCTGAGTTTATCAAGATACATAATAGCACGCTAAGATCTGCTGCGGATATAAAAGATATGTACAAATTGCTTATTTTTTCAGCTAAATCAATGTTTAAAATCATACTAATAAGAGTAAATTAAGAAAAATAAACTAAAAAATAAATAATTTTCCGACGATCGATTATCATTGGGAAGAAACGATCGTCTGTAAGAGATCTTTTTGTTTTTTTACTTTACATATTTTGTATTAGTAAAATGAAGCTGAAGAAGACATATGAGCTCCATATTTCAGTCATGAAAGATTTATGCTTGTTAATTTAATTTAATTTTTTTTTTCAAGCTCTTTATCCATTAAGTGCTGCTGATTATCCAAAACAAGTTTTACCTGATTTACATTTAATAAAAATCTTTCGTGATATTGAATTATTAAAGGAAAGTTGTGAACAACGTAATATAGTTCTTGATATAAATCAACTTGCATCAGATTATCAACGTTGGCAAATGCATAAAAAAGAATATAGACGTTTACGCGATCTTTATCAAATACAAGAAAAATTACGTGCAGAAAGAAAACAAACAAATGATTTAACAATGACAGATATTAATGAAACAGATATAAATAAAACAAAAAAACGTAAGAAAAAAATTCAATCAAACAGCAATACATTAAATGAAACAATATCAAAAAAACCAACAGAAAATCTGTAAGCATTTATTTTATTAAAAATTTATTTTTCAAAGTTTTTGTTAAATCTATACTTGTGATGTATTATATAGAAAAAATAGTTTCAATTCCCATTCGTATATAAATATTTTTTAGAAAAGAAACAGATTTTTATTTTTAAATAAGGTCGGAGGGAAGAGGTATAAGAATTAGTAAGACTTATCATAGAAATATTTAATTTAATGATGTATATGGTAAAATCAGCGAAAACGGGACATTCCCCCATTGCATTTGAATGCAATTCTCTATCAGTATAGATGTTTTGAGTGAATTGTTTTTGCATAGGCTTATGTAAAATTGTCTACTCTTTCATATGATTATTAATTAATTAATTAATTAATTAATAATTAACTAATTAAGAAGTAATTAGCGAATATCTCGAGAACCGAATGAGGAAAAAACTTGAAAACTTCAGGATTGGCTCTAGGGTATGAGCCGCATATATGGTAAAATTTTCATCGAGATCGGACTTCAAAAAGTTCCTTCCAAAAAATCGACCTTTCAGAGCCCTTAGACAGAGCGGAAATGGAAATGTTTGTCTTAGTATTATTCTAGGACCTCCTACCATTAATATGAGCCCCTTGGAATCGATTTCGAACTTTTCAGTTCGTTACCAGAGCATTCGATCAGTAGTGTAGTCGTACTCAGTCACGTCGCTAACAAAGTTGTCACGTCGCTAACGCCAAATAGATTTTATTTTTTTAAATACCTAAACATTCTCAAAATAATTTTACACTGGGATTTGGTGGCCTTAGGAGTGGTGTCTAGTATCGCGTATTAAGTTTTTGACAATTGTGCAACACTTAGAAATTTTTAAAAACCAAAGTATATCAAGTGACTTTTGATGTCCTTTTTGGTGTCACGTCGCTAACGCTAGTTTTTCGTTAATAACTCCTCTGAACAAAGCTCTAGGGTGTTGTTTTTTTCATAGTATCTAGAGTAAATAGAGACTCGTACACCATTCAAAAATCACACCTAAACTAGTTGATAGTGCCGAGATATGCATACTCCAAGTTTACGATGTCACGTCGCTAACGAATGATTTTACCCATATAATCATTTCTTGATAAGATAATGTCGAGTTTCAATTAGAATTTAGTTTTAGAAGAGACATATGTTTATCAATATTAGTTTAATAGTCAAATGTAGATAAATATTCAAGTTATTTTATTTGAAAAAGTGAATGATCGATGTGATAATGTCGAAACAACATGTTTTATTTTTAAAACCTTTCATAAAATAACAACGGTCAGGAAAAAAAATCTCTATTACTTTTGTTTTTGTTATAGCGTTGCAATTAGAGGTGTGTGAGACTAAGCTTTTTTGGTTCCGATCTTGATCTAGATAAAACTAATCCAAAATTTATTCATATCACATCTTAAAAAATCCTTCAAAACTTGGTTTTTGATTTATTTAGTTGATGACTAACACTATTATGTTCTGACTGATGTGGTTTATAAGATAATTCACTTAAATCCATAGAATATTTAACTATAATCTTTAATTTTTGTTAGAATAACTTTTTTCTCGTAATTTCGGTCTCCAAAGTCGGAACTAAAATTGGTCTCGCACATCTGTAGTTACAATGCAATATTATAGAGATTTGGTCCTTCTTTTGTTAAAAAGACGAAATGTTTAGTACAAAATTACATTGAAGAATTTGTTCGGAAGTGTTTTCAGAAGGTTAGAAGAAAACTTCATCTAATAAGAAAAATATTCTTTTTTATTCTTTTGGTTCATGTTTCATAATGTAAGAATAAGAGTTTATTGCTGTACCAAAAAAAAAAACAAATATTTTACGCGTTTTACGACCAGTCCATATAAACTCTATTATAACATATTCTGGTATTGCCACTTTTTCGTAACTAAGGAACACAATCAAATAGCTAAATTCTATTCCGAAGTAGAACCTGTTAGAGATTATATATTTTATATGAAAAAAGGAAGTTTCTCTGTGAGATATTCAACCAAAACTTTGCTGTCCCGTTGTAAATCTCAAATTGAATTTTTCATTAAACTATCCCTTGCTCAGTCTTTTATATTCTAAATCAATTATTTTAATATCACACGAAAATTAACGTTGTCAGGGACAGTAGCATAAATATGTGATGCTAGAAAGTACCGAAAATTGATAATGAAAAAGGTTAAATACAAAATTCTGTGACCAAAGTGTTTCCTCATACCTTTTTGTTCTCAAATGTTTGTGATGTTTGAAAAACATTTTCGATCAAATTCCTTTAAACATTTTTGCACTAGATGTCTTGCTCTCTCTCAACAAAAAAAGAATTGAGTATCTATGACATAGCATTTCAATGTAATATTAAAAAGAAAATTAATGTCGAATTTTTTCCTACCCATTAAATTAAATATATTGATAATCTTTTCTTTTTTATTCTTAAGAGAAACTGATGATGAATTGGCAATGATTTCAAGTGTTGATAATGCTTGGATTGAATCTATAGCTAAATCATCAACATTAACAAATGATTCTATATATGCTCGTGGTGAAGCAATAATGAATGATAATGAATTTAATTCTTTAAAACAACATTTTGAACAATTTCGTCGAGAATTTCGTTTATTTGATCAACGTTTTATTGTTGCATGTCTACATTTACCAGCTGCACAACATATTGGTGTACCAGCTAAATCATCAAATAGTATAATAATATATGAATCACCAATACCTATTGTTAAACATGCATTTAATTCAAAATCATGGCATGAATTATGTCATGTTGAAAAAAATGATGTTTCAAAATTTGGTCCATATTGGCTTGGTAAAGCACCATTACATAAACATGAATTAGTTCGTTCTATATGTACAGATTTAATAAGATTAGGTTTTCAAGAAATGTCATCAATAAGTATGGCAAAACCATTTATTTATGAAGCATTAGGTGCTAATATAAATGAAAGTTGTCATGTTTTAACAACATTTGAAAGTTCAGATGATCCACGTTCACGTTCATTAATAACATCAGGTTTAGGTTCATTAGCATCTTTACTTGTACCATTTGTACGTCGAACATTTTTACAAACAGATTTACCATATTATGTATTTACACAAGGTGCAACATATGATGTTGAACATGAACAAACATATAAAATTCAATTATTAACTATGACTAATATACGTGATACGCATTTAAAAAATTTTGCAGATCCATTATTAGATAAAGAATTAACAGATTTACAATTAAATTCATCAAATGAATCAATTGAACGTGAACATGAATATAATTTACATTTAAAAAATAGTTTATTGAGTAAAAATCCTTTTCGTTTTAAACAAACATCTAGTTTAGATGAAATTTTTATTGAATTAACACGTTTAATGTATAAATTATATGAAAAATTTCGTTTACCATTTCGTATAATAAATGTACCATCGGATAAATTACGTTCATATGAATCAATGAGACTTGATTATGAATTATTTTTACCAAGTTCAAATTCATATGTATGTGTTGGAAGTATATCATTAATTGGAGATTATTTAAGTAGACGTTTAATGATTCGACATAAAAAAGTTAAAGATGATAAAAATGGTAATATCAAAGAAAAATTTACTTTGAAAGATGATTTACCAAGAGAAACAAAATATAATTATGTACAACTTATATATGTACAAGTTGTTGATGTTGATATGTTAACAAAATGTTATGTTGAAAAAGAACAAAAAGGTTTTTCAAAAGGAAACACATGATAAACTTAAATAAAAAAAAATGCTCATTTGTTGTTTTTTTGTTTCATTTAGTCGTAGTTTTCTTTCTCCTGACATGTAATCTTGAATAAACATTTTAAATGTTATAAATTTTTATTTTGTTGTTTTTTGTTTTAGATTTATGTGAATATATAAAATTTTAGTGATTTTGTTATTAAGATTTTCGAAATATTATTTATATTTATTATTAACAAATGAAAACATGAATAATTTATTAGAATTATTTAATCATTGTCAACAACATTTAATTAAAAAACAAAAATTATTTGAAATAGAACGAGAAGATACACATAATTCAATTAATCAAACATTTAATAAAATATTTGAACAATTAATTGAAATTCGACGATTTTGTCGAAATGATATTGAAACACAAACATTAAATGTACAAGTATGTTTTAAAATGATGGTCAAATTTTATTTTTTTTCTCATCACATTCTGAAACTGCAATCTGGAACTTTATTTATAAATAGGCCTCATGGTCGATAAAAGAATCTAAGAGTTTTAATCAAAACGGATGCTTCCTTGTTGAGATATTAAATATTGAAGAAAATGTCAATTTTGTGAAATCCAATTGTGTTTTGATCATTTAATATCTCAAGAAAGAAGCATTTGTTTTAGCTGAAACTTTTAGACTAATTTAGCGGTCATGAGGTCGATTTATGAGTTAAATATCAGTTAAACGATCATAAGTCAAGAAGAAAAGTCTAATGGAATGAATTCTTTTAGGCTTCTTCTAGTCTCACACAGTCCTATTTGTGAGAAAAATAAGAACTCCAACAGAGAATATCAATAGGAAATATTTCCTTGTGAGAGACTTTTTCATTTTGATCTATTTCATTGATAATAAAAATAAAGTTCTTTTTGTTTTGAAAATAATTTGTTAATCAAACTGTAACTAATACAAAAACTATTTATATAGAATTCAATGTTTTAATTTAATCAATAATTTTTATTCTATAAATTTTTTTTTGAAAATGTAGATTGAATTACAACAAATGCTTGATGCTATACAATATATCAGAACCAAAAGTCTTATGTATCATGGAAATACATCAGAAACATATGATTTATTTTCAATTGAATTAGAACAATGTAATGAACGATTATCAAAAATTGTTCTTTCACCTGCACGTGATCTTGATAATTTATTATCATATTTAACAGAATCATTATCCTCAATACCTTCCCATTATCTACCAGAAACACCATTATCACCTATATCAAATCAAATTATTAAAAGAAAATCTAATATTTCATCATCAACAATAACAATTGATTCAGGCAAAAATAGTGATCATAGTTTTAATAATAGTATTGCTGTATTAAATGTTAAAAATTTAAGTAATTTTAAATTTGGTCCAAGTATTATATTAGCTTATCCATGTGATATGATTGCATCAAATGGACGTTCTATACTTTCATATGTTATTGAAAAAAATTTTCTTAATTATTCAACTGTATCTGGTGTTAATTTATCCAATATTAAAGTTTATCGTTTATTAGCACCAATAACAGCAAATAATGCTCGACTTTGGGATATAGCATGGTGTCCATGGAGTAAATTTTATCTTATGTAAGTTATTCGTACAATAGATCAAATTTATTTTGTTCTTTTTTTCAAAATATAGACTTTCAGATTGTATTAAAATTTATTTTACACTTATATAATATTTTTCTATTATCGTTTGAAATGTTCAGCGAAAATATTGATTTCCTAGAATATAGGATAGTCGTTTTAATTTCTCTTGAACTTCTAAAATATATTCAAAATAAAACATTAGGTAGCTCATAATTAGTCAAGTGAAAAAAGAAAGTTAAAATTGACATAAGAATGTAGATGAGGCTCTTGTCTTCATCTACACCCTATATACTTTTCATCATAAAATGAATTTCATAACCCCTCTCAACGCCAAACTAGAAGTAGTAATTTACAGAGTTACTCTATTGTGTAAAGTAATTCCTTCAACTGAATTTATAAAAATGAATTTCAGTTATACATCATCAATATTTAATCTAGACTATGACAACAGTACTCTCTAGCTTTTATCATTCATTGTATAATGATGTTCAACAATTTGAATTTCCTTGCAATAGGAATTTACCATGTCCTCCTATAACTTTAGTGTAATTGCGAATAGATGTTTTTTTCTTTTTTTGTAAATATTTCATTGTACATTTATTTTGATTTCTCTTTTTTTTTATGATTATCTATTTTAGTGTGGGTAATTTAGGTCTTTATTCACTTTGTTATCCATATGATACGAATCCATATACAAATGAACATTTTCCACAAGTAAATAAATTAATTAATTTTCGTGGTCTATCATTTCAACATGTACGTATATTATCACATTTAAATGGTTGGTATATTTATATGGTTGAACATCAAAATGTTTCAATTGATTTATATGATCGTCGATCAGGTCAACGTTTACGTCATTATGATAATCATATTCAACATGATTTAATTCCACTTGGTTTTCATGGTTTTTGTTTAAGTAAGAAATTATTTGCTATTGTTAAAAAAACTGAAGTTCTATCAACAATAAATAATCCACATCAAATAGAAAATGTACAAAATATTCAAATATATTTTTTTGATCTTGAAACAATGTTATGTATACAACAAATGCCATTATATAATTGTTCAAATGTTTATGATATAAAATGTTGTTATGAAGAAAATATTTTTATGATACTTGCTGAACCTATGCAACTTATTCTTATTAATTTAGATACAAATGAATTAATAAGTAAAAAATTATTAGATGAAGGAAAACATTTATGTATTATTAATGATCATGCAGTGTTTATTTTACGTTCAGAATGTTCTATTCAAACACTTCAATATCGAAATAATAAATAAGATTTTGTTGAATATAGTAAAAAACAAGCTAGTCGTTTATTTTGTTTATTTGTTACTGTTATTTGTTTTGAAAATATTTCTAAAAGATCTTTTTCTTTTCGTTATTGTTTTTTTTTTGTCTTTTTTGAACAGTTTGTTATAAGTAAAACGAATGTGAAAGCTAAGAAATCTTTTTTTTTTGTTTTTCGAATTTTAAAATTAGATCAAGACAAATTTTGATTCTTCTGGATGCAGTCAGTAGTGGATTTCATTTGTTTTTGGATGGGTAATGACAAGAATTTATTTTGATGATGTTTTGTATGGTAGATCTTGTTATCTTCGTCATCTTACGATGGAATCCATCGGGCTGGTAATTTTCGTTTGAGCTCATAGTGTAGATAAAAATCCTGAAAAAGTTCGTGCCATTAGGCCTTTGTTTTCGAGTTATGGCCATTTTACCGAACTCTCAGCCTATTGCAGGATATCACGAAAAAAAATCGTAACAAGGACTTTTCATCTGAAATTCTCCCAACAATAACTAAGTTTGAACTCAAACGATGATTTCTTCTTAAGATATCGTATGTCTAAAAACTAGGCTGTTTTTGGAGTTCTTCTATGAAAGCAATGTATTTTGAAAACGTGTTATCTTAGAAGAAAAATATCTGTTTAAGCTGAAACTGTCAGGATATCATGAATACCATGAGAGCTGTTGTTTGGAAGAATTTCAGACTGAAGCTATTTATTGCAATTTTTCTCGTGATATCCTGTAATAGGCTGGAAGTTTGGTAAAAAGACTCTAACTGGAGAAGAAAAACTTAATGGTAGAAACTCTTTCAGGATTTTTATGTATATTATGAGTCCTAGATATGACCAAAATATGAACTCAGATGAAGATTATCAGTCCGATGAGTTTCCTCGTTAGTTAATCCTAGAGAAATGGTGTATGGTTTCTCTACATTGTATTTCTATAAGCACTACTAGTTTTATTCAACACATCGTTGGTTTCATTGATTCTTTAATATATTAGCTGTCATCAATACATGATACTATGTTCAGTATCACTCAAGCGAAAATAAAGAGTAACTGATGATATTCAAAGAGAATAATCAAAGGAAGAATACTTGATTTCGATAATAGAAATTATTCGAATTACTGATATCACTTGGAATTACTCAGCATCATGGAATCAGCTTTTTTTCTTTTCGACTGATAACCAGAGCTTTACATCGGACTCCGCAACCCAACTGTATCGTAGTTAAATCAGTAGAAAAATCAAGTAGTTTTACTCGTATATAGTTATAACTTTATTCTTCACACAATAAGTAGTGAACAAAAAGACACTACTTCATAGATTCATAAATAAGCTTCAAGAAAAAAACCATCATAGATATATTCTCATTGACAAGTAGCACAACAAAAGTATACAGAGTAGGCAAACTGTTAGACTCCACAGAGCTCTACTGATGATAAAACTCTTGATTGAGAAAAACTAATGCCTAAATAAGCCTACTGTCTTCAATAAATATACACTTTAAGTAATTCTGAATAACATCGAGTAATTCCATTGGCTGATTCCAAATGCTTTTATTGGTTTTGAATGATTCCAACGCAATAGAATCGGTTGTTTTTCCCTGCATGACCTACGACAACAAAATTATTCGTTTTTAGTTCATTGATCAATAAATATCTGTCTGTTGCTTAGAATACAATCTTTAATAAAAATTTATCTCTTATATGATAAGAATCATTATATCAAATTAGAAATATCTGTTTATATCCATTACGGTTCTCGATTGTAGGAGATGGGAGAATCTGACTTTTTGCGAAAACTCTTAATAAATTCTGCCAATATTTTATAACTTCATATTAACTTTGAACAGAAACCAGATTCTAATATACCAGTTGCTTTTCCCTAGCGGAAAGTGAAACAAAAATAAGCAGATAATGTCTTTACGAGATAACTAAGATTAGAAGAGAGACGACTTGGTGGCAAGTCGTCTGTTGTGCAAGTGACCGAGCCACGGTAAGTTTCATTATTGCCCCGCTCCCTAGTCATCATTTCTAGTATTCCGAGAATGAAATCGCTTTCTATTGAAGTTTTAAGCCTCTTCCATCCTTAGAAATTATCGACAATTCTGGTCTATATAAATGATAACTTTAAGAAAACTTCGTAGACTCTATCTTTTAATATTTTGTCTCGAATGATTTAAACGTAATGAAGTTTTTGTTTTTAGAGTTTTATATCATGAATATTTTCTAGATAATATTCTTATTAAAATGTCAGATATATTAACATCTTATTCATCATATGCAATTGATGATCGGAATGATACTGATAATTTAGAAGCATTTTTAACAAAACTTGCTCGGTTTGGTATTGACCAATGTTTACATTTTGCACATTTAATTGTTAACAAACAACAATCATTTCAAAATTTTTCAACACTTGATTCTAAATATAAAACTTCTGAAGATCAACAAGTAATAAATAAATTTTTTTTTCTGTTTAAAAAAAAAAGGTAAAAATTTATATTTAATATATAAATATTAGATTGATTTGAATAAACTTTTGTTGGAAATACAAACATTACAAAATGAATTTTATAATATATTATTAATTATATCATCATCAAATGATGAAAAAAAACAATTATTATTTATTAAATTACAAAATTATTTATCAAATTTTCTTGAAATTAATGTACGTTATAAATCATCTGAAATGTCTACTAAAGAAATTCATTTAAATAATTCAAAATTAACAAAAAAATTTGATCAAAGTTTATCAACAATATCTTGTTTATCTACTAAACCATCAATAATATTATCATCTTCATTTTTTTCGAATGACGATATTGATTTAGGAAAAAATTGGAAATTTGCACATATAATTCATACACGTTTTCAAATGTCTTTAATTTCATCTGATTCATATATGATTATATGTTATAATAACCAAAATAATTTTCTTCATTTTATACGTATTAGTGGACAATTTCAAGGAAATATTAAATGGAAATATGAACCTATTATTGATATGCATTGGTAAAATCTTATGAAGAAAAAAAAGTCAAACAATTTTTATGATACAATTTTTATTTTTTTTTATTCAGGTGTTCATTTATTAATCTATTCATAGTTGTAACACATAATGCTATTTATAGTATTGAATATAACAAATCAAAATTATTACCATCAAATTCAATAATTGTTGAAAAAGTTCTTGATTTAGAAAAATTTAATTCTGCTCGAATTGCTTGTAATGAAAATAAGATTTTACTTTATACAATTTATCAACATAAAAGTTTAATTCAAATTTATGATAAGCAATTCAAGAAAGAAAAAACATTTGATAGTTCAATCAACAAACAATTACCGGTAGATTAATTTATTTTAATTAAGTCTTAGAGTTTTTTTTTTTTCTAAATGTTTCATAACTTACACAAGAGATACTGTTCATTACATTGAGATATACTTTTATTCATAAACTCTTTGAGACAGCAGTGTCCAAGGACTGAGAAATAGGAATTCCTAATTTGTAGAGGAATTGTCAGTGTAGCTATGATAATTCCTTGGGGAAATGGGAATTGACCATTATTTCCATCACACTTCCCTCATTCATGAAAGTCAAGATAATGCTTTTTTTGCAATAATTTTCGTACTCATACGTTCATGTGCACAAATTTCTTGATGAAAACGAGTGTAAGAGTAATAAATATCGTGAATATTGTATTTTTTTAATTTTAGCATTCAAAGAAATGTCAGGGGACTGAGTAGGAATTCCTATTCCTCAGTCCTTGGACACTCCTCTTATTTCACTACTCGCAAACAAAAATTGAGACAAAATTTCTAAGTCCATATTCAAAAAGAGTACTCTAACTCATAGTTTGATCATCCGTTATTAAACGAAAATTCAAAAGTTTTAATGTAATAAACTTGATGAATACATATGTTTGGATGTCATGAAGGAAGATAAACAACATAGAAAATAGTCTCTGATCACTTTCAAATTAGTAAAGAAGTTTATATTCTGAACCTGAGTTTTTTCATTTCATAGTAAAATATATAAGATCTCCTATAGATGAACACTTTTCAAAAGTCCCAATAGTATTCAATTTAAAAGAAGCTTTATTGTAGAAAAAACAGTTTGATAAAATTAAACGAGGAATTTTATATTTCTAAATTGTTTTCATTATCGAAAAAAAAAACTTCTTGTTTTTATATTTAGATCAATAGTCATTCATTTTGTTGTACAAATACATTGATTGGTTTAACAGAAAAAGATGAAATACTTATATCATATTTTCCATATATAACTCCAAAGAAAGTTACATTACTTCTATTTGATATTGATACATTTGAATTACGTTATACAATCGATTTAAATAATTGTTCACATATATATACAATGAAATGTCTTGAAAAATATAATATATTCTTTGGTCTTAGTGATGAAAAAATTCTATGGATTATTAAAATTAATAATAATGAAACAATACAAATGGCAAAAAAAACATTCTATACAGATCAAACAGAAGTAATAAGCAGAATATTTATTTATGAGATCTTTTTTACTAATTAAAAAAATTGAATTTTAATTATTGTAGATGTGTATTGTTAATAATCAAGATTTATTATTGATCAATGTTAATGCTGGTTATGCTATTCAATTGATCAAATATCGTAAAATAAAACAGTAGTTATTTCTAGTCTTGTATGTTTTTGTTTTATAGTTACCGAAAAAAAAAGATGTTATATTTATGAAAATAAAAAAAAGCCTTTATAGTCAAAAAAATATATTACTATTATTTTGATTAAAGTTGAATACAGAATGAATCATATTGCTATTTTCTGTTTTATTTTTATCGTATGTCATGCGTAACAAAAAGAGCAAGTATATCGTATAATCTGGAAAAAAAACGATTACTCAAATTATATAATAATAGAAAGAAAATTGACTTATGAATGAACTAAATATTAATTATGGTGAATGGTTTTCTGTTTTCAGATTTCGATAAATTTCAATAAGATAATGATTAGATTATTATTAATAATTCTAGTCATTTCAAAAATTAATGGATATAATAAAAGAATATATTCATCTGTAGAAAATACTCGACCAATTATTGGTAAAATTATTAAAATGATACTATAGTCACCTATGATTTTATTGATATAATTAAGGAATTTTAACTCAACCAACTCCATCAATATGGGGAAAACCAAATCGTACTACTTATATAGCAGCTTCTTATGTTAAATATATTGAAGCAACTGGTGCTCAAGTTGTACCTATTCGGTAAAAATTTGAAACAAAAAAAAATATATATTTGAATAAAAATTTGTTTTTTTTTTTTAATTTTAAAGAATGTATCAATCAATAGAATATTATTTACATTTGTTTAATTCACTAAATGGGTTTGTTAACAAATAAAACGAAGTAAAAATTCTTTTTTTCTTATTATATTGTTTGTCTTTTAGAGTACTCTTTCCAGGTGGAGAGCTTGCTAATGAATATCTTTATGTTGCTAAACTTTTTTATATGTGGTCATTAAAAGTAAACTTAAAGAAAAAATTTTTTTTTCGTTTAATTTATATCAGTCGTTCTTTTTTTGTTTTTAGGATTTTGATGAAATACAAAAAATTTTTCCTTTATAGGGAACATGTCTTGGTTTTGAAGTGTTACTTATGTTAACAAGATGTTCAACTGATATTATGGAACCATGTAGAGGATATGATTATGCAACAGAACTTACTTTTATGCCAGGTATTGAACTTAGTATTTAGTTTTTATTCAAATGTTTTATCATTTTTTGCATATAGATGTAGCGGATAGTCGATTATTGGGAAAATCATTACCAATAAATATAAAAAATGCCTTACAAAATGAACCAACAACAGCAAATTTTCACAATTTTTGTATGCGACCAGAAGTAAAAGTTCTTTTTCGAATTTGATTTTATTATTAAATATATATTTTTATTAATACAGAATTTCTTAGCTGATCCTATATTATCAACATTTTATAAAGCGTTAACCGTAAGCCCAGATTTAGAAGGTCAAGCATTTGTCTCAACTATTGAAAGTAAATACTATTTATGATACAATTCAATTTTAACCATATGTAATAGTGTTTCTAAAAATAATATATTTCCCATGTTGCATGTTTGCTCGCACAACTGTCCCTATAGAGCATGTCCCATAAGTTACCTACAGTAGACTGCTGATCGAAGAACAACTATCGGTATACTAGGGTGGAATAGCAGTCAGAAGATCACTGATCGTTTAAGGATACCTCTCCCTCTTTTTATTTGACCAAAAGCTCGATTTCGACCTAGGTATAAAGTATCATAGCCTCAAGTACTATGTGCAATAAGAGACATCATTCGCCTTTACACAATTTAGCAGTCTCCTTATTCCAAGTACTCTATCTATCCAATCTTATCGATTGTACTCTCATCGAGAATCAAGAATGATCAAAAAAAAAAGTGGCGGAGTAAGGTACTTTTAAGTATTAAACTACCGCTGTGTACAGCACATGACACCCGAATTATCTACTGACAGATTTTGTTCGGTTTGAATCATATAGATGTTTCAATTCTAATTTATTCGACCTAATCATTGCATTGAAATTGAACAATATTAAAAATTCTATAGCAATTTATTTAGGTCGTCGTTATCCAATTTTTGGTGTTCAATGGCATCCAGAAAAGAATGCATTTGAATGGCGAGTAAATACAACAATACCTCATACAAAAGATTCAGTTGAAGTTATGCAATATATGGCAAATTTTTTTACTAATCAAGCACGTCAAAATATGAACCAATTCAGTTCATTAGCAGATGAATTAAAATATCTTATATATCTATATACACCAGAATTTAGCGACTTAGACACATCACATTTTCAACAACTTTATTTTTTTTATGAATAAAACTTATTTTGTTTTTGTTTTTTTATTTTCAAATAAAAAAAAATATGAAATAAATATTCTAATATTTTAGTTGTTGAATAAATTGATCATTTGTTCGATAAAATCGAATATTTTTACTTATTTTTAATGGCCATGTTACCAAACGATAATAACCATTCATCATATTTGGACATATTCTTTCAAATGGTTGCATTGATATCCACCATGGCGTTAAAAGTAATGCTACAGGCATTATAAATAATAATAATATAATGAAAAGTATAATTCGTAATATCCAAACATTGATACTAGTTATTGATTGATTTACACTATCAGATGAACTAGTTGATGTACGATTAGAATGTTTTGATTCACCAGAATCAACACGATAAGGCATTTTAAATACTTTTTTTTTTTTTTGTAAATAATGGCGCATTATTTTGTTTTTTTCTTTCTTTTTTTATTCTAAATTTGTATTCAAGATTGATTATTCTATAGAAATGGTCAGTCATTTAATAAAACGATATAAATAAATAAAAATAATTCAATTTAGATTGAAAATAATGATAATATACTTGAATTTCCTTTACGATTGAGTAAAATATGTTTATTAAGTATACGTGATGATAATACATTTATTTCACCAATAGCTATTGAAGCTGCATTTCATGCATTATCATTTAATAATAAACGATTGAAAAATAATTTCAATAAAAAAATTCCATTTGATTTTCATAATTATTTTATTCTTAATCAAGATTCAATACAAATATTTCATGAAAATCTTAATGTAAGTTTTAAATGAAAAAAAAAGAAAACAAAATTAAAAGAAATCTATTAGGAAGAAACAATAAAATATTTTAATACAGAATTTCAAATTCATAATTTAAATGATATAGAACAAAGAAAATTTCTTTTAAATCAAATTATAAAACATTTAACTGATCAATCATTAATATCAATTTTACCATCACAAAAAATTCTTGAACAAATTATTGTTGAACCAATGACTTTATTATCATGTTGTTCATTTGTTTTTCGACCATTTAAGATCGAACATTGGAAACAACTTTGGTAAGAAAAATTATATTTAAAAAATAAGTCAGCAGTGTTTAGATTTTCGAGAAAGAAAATTTCCGAAATCACTAACACATAAGGTCGGTTATTTCTGGGAAATTTTGGTACTTATCAGACCTCGAAATTGGATCACTTTTTGATGGCTCCGTCCGATCGACTAACAGTGCCCATACGACCCGGTTCAGAATGACACTATTAAAAGTATATTTCTTTTACAAAAAGGATTTCTATACGATGAAACTTCACAATTGCTGCAATCATTTATTAGAACATGGTAAAATGTTTATTATCATAGTGATCACAAGTTGAATAAGGTCGGACAATTTGAATGCTTGAAAAAACCAGCATGATAGATTCACGAATAAAATATCCACTGATCAATTTCAAACAGCCAGATCGGTTACTATTGTTGAGTTACATAGTCAGCACTATTCCACTTCCGTAACACTCATGCTACTTAATGCAATTAGTAGTGCACTTGGTCTTGTGTGTGGATGAAGAATATGGTTGAACCGAATAAATGCTATGCTTTTATTTATTGGTTAAATGAAAATTCCAAAACGTTCGTATGATAAAGATTCCTGATTGTTACTAGTTGTGAGGTGCAATACCTATACAAGAAATTTGGCGAAAAATGGAAATAAAATTGATTCTGATTGAAATCTGATTTTTCACCTTTAAAGATGGATATTAATTGGTTTTAGTCTTTTTTAATCGATTAATAAAGCCCTACAGATTGAAATTTTTTTCAAAATCGATCAAAATCAGAATTCTTTCTGTTTTCTTAGGTAGGAACTCTTCTTTGAGAAAAAAAAGATAAAGTTCGGATCCGATGATCCTACAAAAGTTAAGATTCGCTGGGTCAGGAAGAAAAATCTTTCTGAATCGGATAGTCCTTTTGCCCCTCTGCCTTTTCAATCTCACGTTAAACAATGCATAGCGTTCTTGATCAGTTTTTGTAAACTTTTGAGTTTATACAACCATTCATTTTTTTAAGATATTTAACAATTATGAAATTCAAAAGAAAAAATTTTCAGACTACACACAAATTATATGAGAGTGATCAATTGAAGCATACACGTTTATACAATATCCTACTCGAATGTATTTGCAGACGGCATATTCAGTTACATGCAATAGATATGGATACCAAGACGAAATTTCATTAAACAGATAGATTCAATGTGAAGATTTTGATACATTTATTTAGTCGTATTCTGAAATGATCAAATATGTGAGAGAAGCAAATAAAAATACAGTCATATAAAAAGATTTGAACAATTGACATTTGTTTTCATGAAACATTTTTGTCTTGCTTTCTGAACAGAATTGTTAGCAATATAGCATTATTGATAACTTATTTTTTCATAAAAAAAAAAATAAACGTTACACATCATTTGCACAACGAAAGATGACAACAAGGTTTGTCTGAATAGCAAATCCATTTTTTTTCAGTCATATATCAAATACTATACTCTTGATTTTTGAAATAACTATGTGCTTCATTCGAGTTGTCTGGAATTGGTAGTCCATTAGTGAATAAAAATCCCAGTAGTTTCGAAAGATAACAAGTAAATATTGAAATTTCTTATTAATATCTGAAATCTATTATAGAATTTTCTTAAAATTTCTTTCTTATGCTTAAGTAATTTCCAAAATTTCCCGGATGATTTTTTTTCCTTGTAAATCGATAATCAAAGAACTTCTCTTGGAATTATTTTCTCATATGTTAACAATTTCGGAAATTTGAACCTACTCGAAAATAAAATAACTAATTAAATATGTTTTTTTTTGTTTTAATTGAAATCAGGTCATTAAAATTTCATTCAAACATTCATTTATCAATTGAAACAGAATTTTATTATACAAAAGGTTTTTTTCATGTTGCTTTTCATGATACATTTCATAAAATTGAAATACCTGGTCAAGTATTCAATGGAATCCAAATGAAATTAATCATTTTACTTCCACAGTTTTTCATCTAAAAGATAATTTTTTTTTTAAAAGCTATATTTATTTCAGATGTTCATCTGATCTTATTCATCTTTATGCTAATATAAAAGAATATCTTACTTTACCAGTTTCATCAGCATATATTGCTGTATGTATACCAAATATATCCATGGATATTCATATTAATCTTATCGAATCATTGAAATTTTTTAATGACTTATATAATAAAAATCATTTAGGAGAATTGAATCAAGAAATTCATTTATGTTTGTAATCGAATTGAAAGCTTTTCCTTTTTTGATTTTATATGACTTTTTATTTTTGAATTCTAGCTGCTGCACATTCTATAGGTCATTTTGCTCTTGATATGAGTACAGACAAAATAAAACAATCATCATCAAATTGTTTACATTCAATTGATCTTTCACCAACAACTCCATGGGTATTCTTTGCTAATCGTCCATTTTTATTTTTAATTACATATGATGATTATTATTTATTAATTGGACAAATGTTAGGTCCAAAAATTCGTCAAGAAACAAAGAAATTTTCTTCAAAAATAAAACGTTAGATTTACTATTGAGAAAAATACAGAAAATTTTAGATTTGAATAATAAAAATATCTTAAGAATGCACATTTTTTGTCAACATAAAATAATTAGTGCGCGACAAAAGTTTCGCTCCTATTGAAATGAATATATTATTTGATTTCGATGTCGAGATTTAGAATGTAACATATACATACACAAAAGACTTAGAGACATACACTATGAACATTCTGATTTTTTACCTACCTGCTTCTTCGTTGGACAAAGTAGGAGTATATGAAATACTCTGTTAGATGGCTTTTTGTCAGATCGAGTCCTGCGTTTAGTTCTTCCTTTGGCAAGTAGACTGTGGTTTTTTTGCCTGTTTGTTGGAGCGAATACCAATAATACTCAGTCACATTGAATTCAGATGAATGAGGTGATCAATCTAATAATTGATTTTCGTTGATCATATACATTAGTTGCTTTGATACAAGCGTGTTGTTTGCGTCAATCGTAACTTAGAGATCTATGCACCTATTAATGCACATGAGCTGACTCAACCGCTGAACTCGTTGAAGATGTAGTGATTGAAAGTCTCTGTTGAACGTGTCAATATATAATTGGTGACTAACTGTTGTTGATGTCTAATGAGAGAAATTTTGTAATGTGATATATCAGATCCAATGAACAGTGTTATTTCATGCAAGCAAACAAAAATATAAATAATTATTCGGCGATCATTACAAAGTTAAGACACTGCTACATTGAGTTGCTTCACTCGTTATTGGATTTCTTTAAGAGAAAATAAGCATTATTCCCATGTTCGATGTTGAATTTTTTACTCTTCTTAATTAGTTAATGAATCCGAAGAATAATAATGACAAAACACAGAAGCTGAATATGAATAATGAGTTATCAGGGAATGCTATGTTTGACAACGATTTAAAGTTTTTCTGCCATCTGATTATGTGCGAGATGAACGAGTTCATATAGGAGTGAAACTTTTGTCGCACACTAAATAACTGCTATTAATACTAGAAAAATTCAGACGTTGACAAGCATCTAAATCTAAAGTATGTATGTATGTAATCTAAACTGAACTTCAAATAAGAACTTTTTTAAAGGTAACAAATTTTTTTTCCGCCACTTCGATATTCACGCTAGACTTATCTTGGAAAAGAAAAACGATTCAATTTTCTACATGTCTTTTAAAATAACAATAGTTCTAAGAGACAAGGAGAGACAGAGAGAGAGACAGAAAGAGAAGTTTTTCTTTTCTCACATTTTTTCAAGTAAGGGAAGATTGTTGATTGTCACTGCATGCCAGACGTTAATATTGTTCATTTTTCTCGTTTACTATTACTATGACTATTCTTCTGAATGTTAATCAAACAACACAAGAAGAAATAGAAATAGAAAAAAAAAGACGAGGAGCAACGTAACAGTGACGAACGTTTAAAGATACTTTTTTTTTGTTGGTAATTCTGTGACAAATTTTGAATTAACATATTAGAAAATAATCATGAGCATACGTTCAAAAACACTACCAATTGATGAGCATTATTGTCAAATATGTACATATACATCGTCGATTACTGGTAAAAAACGTTTATCATATTATTCTTGTGATCATTGCCATTTATCAATGTGTTATGATTGTTTTGAAAAACATACAACTCAATTAATTGATGAATATTTAGAAATACAAAAACGTTATTCACAATTAGCCAATTTATTTAATAATAAACAACAATTACTTAAAACATTTGAAGAACATTGTATACGTAGTGTTAATACTGTTTTTGATGAAGTACTTGATGATTTACAAACCCTTCGAAAAGAAAGTATTGATTATGTTCAACAACAGTTTAATGAATCTCAAGTAAGTTTTCTTTTTTTTTGTGTGTTTTTCTCAACTAGAAAAATAATAAATAAAATATTTTCTAGATTGTTATATCAGATATGATTACAAATATCAAATCGTTAATAACTAAATCTCAACAAAATTGGATTCGTGATGGTATAAGAAAACATGTTATTCTTGAACTTGATATTCAACGTAAACAAATAAATGATATTGAACAAGATTTTAATAAATTTTCTTTATCTAATATGCAATTAAAAATGTCTACATATCCACGAAATAAACTTGATTTAGATTGTCAATTATTATTAAGTTCATATACAACAATAAAAAAATTTTCTTGTTCTTATCCAGGCAAAATTATATCAACAAAATGTTCATATGATCAACATACAGAATATGAAAATGAAAAAATTGATGTTGATACAGAAGTTGAAGAACTTAATGAAAATCTTTATTCAACAAAACAAATACAAACTGATTCTGTTATTGAATCTGTTCATAATACAGATGTTGATGATGATGTTGAGGATGATAAGGATGAGGAATATTTTTCTTTACAAGAAGAAACAAGTGAATTAAATAATTCAATTCATACAGAACATTGTTTAAGTAAACGTTATATTAATCAAGGTACAATATTAACACAAAATGAAGTTGATCGTATTGCAAGTGATGGTGAACATTTACTTTATTTTTCTGATATATCAAAATCACTTTGTTATATTCTAAGCATTTTATCTGATAGACGAGTTAATGGAACATCAAGAACAAAAGAAATAACATGCCGATGGCCACATTCTACTATACTTGATTTAGTTTATTCACCAGCTTCATCACAATTTATTTGTGCAACTAAAACAGGTATTTATACATGTATTATTGATTCAAATAATGATGATTCAACTATTGACATACAATTGCAAATAACACAATCTTGGTCTTATATAAGACTATCAGCTGATAAAAATTTTCTATGGGTTTGGACGGATACTCCACGTTTAAGTCAATTACATGTTTATTCACCTAAAACATTTGATTGTATAAAAAAATTTGATTTACGTAATTATCGACTTTTTTCGAATAATAGTACATCATTTTGTATTCATACAAATCTTATTGCAACTGTATTTCAATTTAAACAAACAACAAATACAATGATATATAAAAAAAATTTTCATGTTACACTTTGTGATAATATAGGTTTACATGAATTATGTACAATAAATTTAGGTGAATGTGATATTGATCATGAAATTCGAGCAAATAATGATGGAATCTTTTTTATAACGAATGGAAAAAAAACGTTATGGATCGTTGATCGTTATGGAAAAAAAGAATATGTTAAATTACATCGTACAGGTCGAGCATTAACAGTACATACAACAAATCAAATATTAATTGCTAATGGTACAAAACACTTGCAATGTATTGAACTTATACAAAATGACAACAAAAATATATAAATGCCTAGATATATATTATGTGTGTGTGTGGCTTTTCATAACCTTGAGAAAAAAAAGAGTCTATCGAATGTAGTGTAATTTATGAAGTATGTGTTTATATTCATATATTTATGAGTTCTATTGACTGATATTCGTTGTCTTTGTTTTTCTTTTTTTTTGATTTCGTTAAGAGGTCAGAGAAAAAAACCAATTACATGTTGTAAATTATTCGTATGCAATTGATTGAAGTTTTCCCAATAATTAAAGGTACAATGCTTCAAAAAAATATTCATTTGAAGATGAATCATGAACAAACAAAAAAAAGCTCTTAGAATTACACTTGAAGTTTTACAGTAACAAATACTTTTTTTTTCCGCATGAACATTTGAAAGTAGATGATCGTTCGTGCACATGACGTGATAAAAAAATAAATTACAGAACTATGAGCATGTCCGTCCATGAAGAATATTTAATATGCATCGAAAAATATGCGTTTTTAATAAATGTAAAGTCATGTATAAGAAACCAATGGGAAATTTTTTTTTGTGCTTAAAAAACAACGCTTTTTATAAATTAAATAATGAGTTGATCTGATTTTCAAGTTTATTAATATTACAAAACTGTACAAAAGAAGTATTCTTTTGCTCTAGAATTTCATTTCTACGATATGTAACTGATTGTCTGCTTTTTTGAACTAAATGAATTTTGTTTTGTCAAAAAATACATATATATGCACAAAAGTACAACAGATATGGATAAATCATTAGCGAATGTATAATTATTAATGCATTGAAAATATCATGATAGTATAATGTAAAAATCATCGAATTTATGCGGTGCTACAATTCCAAAATCAAATGTCGATTTTCCATATAGATCAATTGTATTAATGAATGACATTTCGTTTACTTTATCGAATAATAGTATATGTTTAATTCAACTTATTATTGTGCATTAGAAATAGAATCAGTTTGGACCCGAACCGATCATGTCTCTGTTGTACATTAATGGTAATCTTTACTTTTCTGTCTGATATATTAGGTGACCAAAATTTCGCTAAAAGAACTTTCACCATTAGCGAAATTCTGGAACTCCCAAATATACTTGTAACATACTATCTAATTTCCCAGTGACCTATTGGTTCTAATCATCATTTTATGTCTTTAATTTGTGCTCGAAAACTATATATTAATGAACTGTAAGAACGTTTGCACTATTGATCTTTATCGAATATTAATAACGATTTTTTTTTGTATTGCTTCGAAACTAATTACAATTTGCAGATCGAGCGGATAATTCTAATAAATGTTACACTGATATGAAAACATTAAACTTTCGTTTGGTTATCTCTTTGTGAGTTGTAAGTGTCATTATTCGACTGAACTATCGGTCCAACTCTTTAAATGACAATCGTCAAACTGTTATAAGAAACTTGTCTTTGACTATTCTTGTTGGTGGTTGTTATGCTGTTATAATATATTCAGTTAGTCATTTTATGATTTAAATGGTATTAGTGTTCATCTGAATTGACATATATTTAATTTATGGATGAATAAATTCGTTGCAAACTATTGATTAAAACATATTCTTAAAAATATTAATCTATTTTCAATAATAATTCACATATATAAATGTATTTGATCAATGAAAATCGATTGGAGCTTTTTTTTTCTGTAGTAATATTATTAATAGATTATAATGAAATAAAAACAATTTAGTAAAAACTTTTTATATTTTCTCGAACTTTTTTAAATGATTGTTCGCATATGCAAGCACAGATATTTTGTTTCTATACACTGAAATATACAATATATGCACAAAAACAGCACATGCTTGTCTATGTTACAACAAAAAACAGAGTGAAAAGAAAAACACAAAAAGTCGACTACAATAGACTGTCAGTATTCATAGATATAATATGAATTTAGCATTTAAAAGAGGGATTAAATTACTTGCAGGAAATTTCTATGAAGGAATGTTCACTGTCGTTGAGTTCATTCGCTCAATCTACTAGGCACACACGTCATAATATACAAACAAAACAAAACAAAAAAAGAAAGAAAGAGTAGTAAACAAAAAACAACGGCAAAAAAGGAACACGTAAGAACGGAAAAATGAAAGAAAAAAGAACAAATAATATTTTTATCTATTAATTACGCAATCGTTGCACCATAGCTAATAATTTTTCAGCATCACTATAAGTAAATCTTTGATTATTATTATTATTATTATTATTATTATTATTTTGCACAATTGTATCAGATATTGTTTTTGAAGAGGACCAATGTGAATTATCATTATTTGTTATTGAAGATGAATATTTAACTTGTTCATTTATCGAATAATCCATTTGTTGTTGTAGAACTGATTCATTTGTGTTATTTTCAAGAAATTTTTGTAAACATTTTATTGTATTTGATTCTTTTAAATCATAAGAATTCGAATAATTTTTTCTTGTTGATTCAATTTGATCAATATAATTATTTTGATAATATAATGAATCAAGACTACAACAGACGTAAGAAAAAAACAAAAAAAAACAAACGTGTTAAATAACAATTATTGATATATAATACATAAGCAAAGAAAAAGTTTAAAAAAAAAATAGCAATAATAAGAATCAATGTGCATACTATAAATAATATAAACCTTGCAGGTTTTTTATTTTCTAGATAATTTAATTCTTCAAAAATAAAAATGATTTTTATTAACTTTCATTAGAACTTTAAAAACTAGCAAGGTTCAAGAAGAATTATTTATTTATTTATTTTTTGTGCTTATAAGTGAGTTAAACTAAGAACTACGCATTTATATATATTAGCATTCTAACGTAGATATAACACATGCACTCACGCCGCCACCATGTATCTATTTATATGTTCGAGCAGAACGTAATATTGTATAACGAACTATTCTAAATAAGAAAATGAGTATAATAACGTGCAAAAAAAAAAAAAGAAGAAAAAAAAACAAAAGGTAAGAGTTCGCAAAAATACCCAAGCTAGTTAAATCTGTTATATAAATGTTTTATTCTACCAAAAAAAGTAAAATATATACATATATTGTAGAACTGTTCTATTGATAAAAGAAAACATCAAATAGGTGATTAAATAAACTCACCGTTTGATGATTGTTAAACAAATAAAATTGTCAAAATTTAATATACATAAACCGGGTGGTCCAAAAGTAAGGAAAAATAATGGGTATCTAATAATAACTGATGAAAAACTGTTAATGATATTTTTCATACTTTTTATTGATGTAGAGAGCTAAAACTTTCAGAAATAAAAGGTGTTAATTAGATATATATGTAATAAAAATTTCAGATCTTTACATCAATAAAAAGTATAAAAAATATCATTAACAGTTTTTCATCAGTTATTATGGGATACCCATTATTTTTCCTTACTTTTGGGCCACCCGGTATATATATATATAGTAATAATAGGCTAACCAATCAGAAGGAATATCATTATAGATTAGATTTAATATAAAAAATTTTTGTTTATAATTGTCCACAGGGAACTTTGTGATGTAGAAGATAACTCTAGAAGATTTTATTTCTATATTAAGGAAAGTGTAAATGAAATTGACACTACATCTTTTTTATATAAATAAATTTATTTTTTTTCTAATACAAGGAGATAATATATTAAATTGCATAAGTTAACTTTCAAAAATAAAACGATTCATTGAATAGATAGAAATTATCTATTTTGATTAGGAGGTATGCGTCAAACCCAGACGTTCGGGTTTGGTCTTGAATACGATCATTTTCAGTTAATTAATAAAAGAAAGCTAAGATGAGAAAGGATTTCAAGCTTGGCTATGGTAGGTCTACACACACTGGAATAAACGATCGAAAAAATAAAAATCTGTAGACTTCCTAAAAAAAGCCAATAATATTCAGAAATACTCGAACCTGAAAACCAGGCCTGTGTTCGGGTTCTGTACATGTCCAATCTTAATCAAATAAGAAAATATTAAAAGCTAGAAAGAATAGTATACTGTAGTCAATAGTATGCCTGATTTATTATTCAAAAGCTTAGTAATAAATATTAGAGGTTATATACCTTGAGAGTTAAAGAGAGATTGTGATCTTCTCGACTGTATTCGTATTTCATTAGACGAATTCTCCTTAAATTTAGCATCAATAATCATTCATGGAGATAATAAACTAAATAGTTCAGTATTACTGTAGTGATGAATATAGAAAGATGATTTCTAATAATGAAACTTTCCCCACTTGAAAGTCGCTTTTGAGTTCAAGTTCTGTGTATAAGATAGATTGCAATGATGTATTAAAAACCCTGAAAGGATAAAGACTGATGATATTTTAACCTACAACTTCGCCCATAAATAGGCTTACTTGTATCTAGAAGGTCCTAAAAATTTCAGCTCAAAATAATGTTCCTTTCACAAGATATGAAATTTTCAAAAAACATAAGATTCTCACATTTTTCGTGAAATATGAATACTTTTTGGAAATTCAATATCTCGTGAAGAAAACATTCTTTTGAACTGAAATTTTCAAAACATTCTAATTACAAGTAGCTCTATCTATAGGCGGAATTTCAAGTCAAAATACCGTCAGTCCTAAGTTTTTTTTGCAGTTTTTAATACATCATTAGGGTCTACCTTATGCATAGAGTCCGAAGTCAAAAGTAATTTTCAAGTTGTGAAGGTTCATTATCTATACACTCAGATGAATATGTACCATATGAAAAGCAGTATTGTGTACATTCAAGTTCTTTTGTTTCGTGTTTCTAAAAATGATTTAATTAAAGAAGATACTTCTGAACATATTTTCAACATATAGACTTTTATTTTCAAGTTTTTAGTTAAAAAAAAGTTTTTATTTTTCTTACTTTCGATCTTGCATTGTCACCGGTGAAGAACTACGATTATGTGTTGATGATTTCGGATAATGAAAATCCATTAGTGGTTTTGGAGGAGATAGAATATTCGGATTTGAAAAACGTGGATGATCAGCAACAGATTGATGATTATAATTAAATCTT